GGACTGACCTTGGCTGTGGGTGAGGACAGAGGAAGGGTGGGCTAACCTTTGCTGTGGGTGTACTCTCTCAGACATGTGAGGTGAGGGGCTGGAAGGGCTGGGCAAGGTAGGTGCCTTGAAGGACATGGTCTCTCCCCCACTGCAAAAGGCTCGAGTGAAACACTGGTAACCCAAGTGCCGAGCCAGAAGCCCCTTCCCATTCCACCACTAAATGGCATAACCACATACAGTTATGTATGTGAGGATCACCTGCCCTCCCATCTCCCAATCTTGGTGTGAGATCTGGAGGCAGCACCCTGAGGTCACAGGAACACATGTTCACAGATAAGCTTTTCAGGTCAGCCAGTGAGTCTGTTGGTTTTAGAAATCCCAAAGAGGCGTGAGGCTAGTCGCTGCTAGACCAGCGGGGCTGTGACTCCGAGTAGATCCAAACTGGCTGGCAGACCGTGGAGCACGTGCAGGGCTCCCACATGACCCGACACCCTCCTCTTCCCCTCTGCCGGGCTGGCCAGCAGAGGCTTGTTCATCCCTCTACTCCAGAGACCTGACCCAGGGAGGCAGAACCTGGGGCCCCATCAGCAACTGCTCCCCTGCACCCTCCCACCAGAGCCACCTCCCTTCCCTGTCACACACCTCCTTTGAGGCTCCACAAAGACCCCTGACCATCCCTCACCTGTTTCCCCCATTGATGACCTGAAAATTCTTGTCCCTCCAGGAAAAGGCCAAGAACCTCTTCCCCACACTGGGCCTGGGCCTGTCTGTCCTCCTCTCACCAACTGCTGTCTGTCCTGTCCGTCCTCACCCTGCCTTCTGTTTGTCTCCTTCACCTCATCCCAACCTTCCCCCCAGTGCCTTTTCTCCCACCCTGTCTTGTCCCCAGAGGTTTCTGATGCATCTGAGGGGTACACAGTAGCCTCCTCCCTGAGCCAGGTACCTGAGGGTCACTCCAGGACCAACCTGACCGTCTTGTCCTCGTCAATGCTGACAGGACAAACAGCCCCAGAGAGAGGAATCCACTGGAAGCATCAAAGCCATGGTGCCGAGCTTGGCGAGGAAGCTTGTAGCTTTTCTTATGACAAATATCCCCTCAAATTCTTTTTTTTTTTTTAACCCAAGACATCTTCTCCTTGCTCCCCCTCACCCTGTGCCATTCCTCCACCCCAGCTTGCCTCCCTCTCCTTAGTGCTTGAGATATTTTTGGCTCATCCAACATGATTTCACAAACAGTAGGGATCTGTGTTTCATCAGGGGCAGCACAGCTGGGCAATTAAAGATTCACCCGGACTTGCAAAATCACAGTTGGAAGACGACAGTTTAACAAAGGCAAGGAAGATTCTAGTTGGCCAGTTGCTGCTTTGATTAAACAGTTATTTTGTTTTTTAAAAAAGAAAGAAAGACGTGTATCCTGTGCTGAGAGCGCTTCTCTCGAGAGTCCCTCAGAGCCCAGGTCTCTGGGTGGTCAGGTCCAGGTCCTGCTCATCCTCAGACAGCTCATCTCCCACAGGGACCTGGATTCTGGTTTTCAGTGCTATGCTCAAGGTACTGCCCTCTGCCTCTCAGAGAAGAGTTGGGGCCTGGCCTTACCTGGCAGGGCCTGTGTGGGTGCTTCTAGCTTAGGATATAGGTGTGAGATGACCCCTAGATGGAGCACTATGAGCAGAGGACTTAACGGGCACTTAACTGTAAGGATGCGGGGTCACAGCTGTGGGCAGGGGAAGCTGGCTGGCAGTGTGGCCACCACTGGGGCCTGAGATGGCCGTGTGGGTCTCAGGGCCGCAGCAGCCCTCCGTGCCATCCCAGGTTGTGATGGGCCAGTCCTGCACGCTCAGGGCTGGTGGCCCTCCACACCATCCGAGGTTGTGACACGCTAGGACTTCATGCCCCCTAGCCACTCACTGCCATGGGCCACCCCCAGGAAGGCATAACCTGAGGCCAGGGCTGTGCCAGGAAGGGGCATTCCTGTGCCTGGGAGGGCAGGGGGCCCTGGCAGGGGTCTGGACGCAGCACCACATACCCACTCTCTCTCCACTAGCATCTTCAGACCCACTGCCCACCTGGGAACTGCTCCTCTGGGGTTCTGGTTGGCTGTGTCCCCTAGGAAACTAACAAGAAGATTAGCCCCCACGGCTACAGTTGATCTCCAGGCCTTAAATAATCCTATCACCCCACTTCTCCACCAGCTGTCCCAAATCCCCTCACTATTGAGTCATTCCTTGCTTAACCAGGCTGCTTGCTAGGGAGTTATCAGACCTTTATCCCCAAGGGCCTGAGCCCCTGCCTGTTCTGCCCCTCTCAGGACAAGGCTGCTGTGCTTGTACATCTGCCTGAAAATGGGCCTGTGGACTGATCAGGAAAAGAGGAGAGAAAACACAGACTGCAGGTGTCAGAGATGAAAAAAGGGGCATCACAATAGATCCTATGCTCAGTAGCAAACAGTATGGGGTATTATGAGCTACTTCATCCAATAAATTCAGCAATTTAGATGAAATGGACAAATTCCTTAAAAGACACAAATTACCAAAACTAGAAAACCTAAACAGCTCTATATCTATTAAAACAAATTGAATTCACATTAAAAAACATTTTCATGAAGAAAATATCAGGCCCAAAAGACCTCCCTGGTAAATTCTGTCAAACATTTAAAGAAGAAATGAAACCAAACCTACACAAAGTCTTTAATAAATAGAGGAGGAGGGGATATTTCCTAACATACTCTATGAGGCCAGCATTACGCTGATACCAAAACCTGACAAGGATATCGCAAAATACTGGATGTGGACCAATATCCCTTTTGAACATAGACACAAAAGTCCTTAACAAAATACTAGCAAATTAAATCAGTTAATGAAAAAGACAAGGCATCATGACCCAGTGGTGCTTGAGCCAGGAATCCAAGGTTAATTGAACATTCAAAAGTCTGTCAGTGTAATTCAACGTATTTATAGAAGAAGAAAAACCATATAATCATCTCAATAGATACAGAGAAGGTTTTGCAAAATTTGCCCATTTATAACAAAGATTCTCAGCAGATTTCAAAAAGAAGGATAATTCCTCAATCTGATAAAAAGAATCTAGTCAAACAAACACCAAGTGACCTCATACTTAATGGTGCATGGTTGAGCACTGTCCTGTGACCAGGAAAAAGACCAAGCATCCACCCCACCACATCTTTTCAGTATCACACAGGCAGAGCTAATTCATGATCTTAAAAGTCAAGAGCCCCGGTTCCACTAAGGCTTGGGCAGTGACTAGGAGGGCCCAGGGGTATTTCTGGGATACCAGTGAAGTTGTGTTCTTGCTCTGGGTGCTGGTTACCTGAGAGGATTCACTTCAATAAAAGGGTTTTTTGTTTGTTTGTTTTTAATTCACACATACACCCACACCCCTCATCAAACTGTACACTTACAATCCGTGTGTAAATTATGCCTCATTAAAAAGATAAAATATATAACAGCCAAAATAAACCTAATAGGAAGATTAGAAAAAAAGTCAAGGAAATATCCCAGAAAGTAGAACACAGGAGAAAGGACCCACCAGGACACCCGATACCTATCTCATAGGGCTCTATGCTGTTTTGAAACCTGCTGGACGTTTTCCCATGTAATTGAATGTGTTTCTGTGACAAGATTTTCAGTGGAGCCTGAGGACTCTGAGAAGTTAGCCCTTCCTCCCCACATCAGCCTCCTTGGCGGTGTGGGCCAGTGTTGTCATTGCCCTTGTGAGCCAGCGTGCCTGCTGCTGGCCCAGCAGAGACAGGGCTCCTGGCCTGCAGCTGGCTTGCAGACGCTTTGTTGCATGGAAGCGTTTGGAAAACCACTTTGTTGGTTATGAGATACATCACTGTTGCGTTATTAATCTCTCCATCTTCTCATCACCCATTGGCAATAGCCTCCAGCGTGACAACCTTTCCCTCCCTGGGCATGGAGAGAGGCCGAGTTGAAAGAGAAGGTGGGCAGAGTGCTGGGGGGTGGCCAGGTGTACCAGGGTCTCATCTCACCATCCCCAAGTGCCAGTCCAGCGGCTTCTCCTCCCCAATCTGTCCCCCTCTCCCTATCATGCTCATTAAAGTCACTCACACTGGCCTTCACCATGTCAGAAACAGCCAGGCAGGGGACACGTGGCCCTCAGCACGGGCATCTACCTCTCCCTCCTTCACGGTGACGGCACGGGCTGGGTTAGAGGACGTGGGGGGCAGGAGGGAGCTGGGGGCACAGTGGTCGGGGTGCAGGGCCCTGGCACAGAGCATGGGAACCAGTGCTATGGATGCCACCTGCCAGAGCAGGCAGCGGCTCCAGGCAGGTGGCACGGTGGCTGCACACACTCAGTGGGTGGGGGGGGGTGCACGTGGAGCAGAGGTGACAGAGTCCCTGTCAAGGTCCGCAGGTGGTGTGCCCCCTGGCTGCATGGCTCCCTGCCATGTTCCTGGATGCTGGCTTCTTAGTGGCATTTCTTTCCATGCTGTTTTCACTGCCCTTTGGGGTCTTTTTTTTTTTTTTTTCCTTTTTTTAAAAATGGTTTTTAAATTATTTTTTTTCCCTTTGACTGCCTTTTTTTTTTTTAAAAAAAAAAAATGTGCAGTAGCATTTATAGTCTGTCTCCTCTCCTAAGTAAAGGTCTTCACCCCTGTGCCTCATGCTCAGTGGAGTTGAGGGGAAGGTGCCCACTCCTTGCTTAGGCACTGCACCCTATGAGGGAAACTTAACTTTTAGAAACAACTCGATTCTGTTGGGTTCCTGTCCAGCCTCACTCTGCCCTGGGTTGTCCCCAGTCTTGCCGAGCTCCCGTGTCAGTTCTAGTACATTTCTGTGGGTTCTATCTGATTTTCTACCGAGAGGTCACATTATCCAAAAATACAGATTGTCCTGAGTCTTCCTTTCCAACCTGGTTGCTGGGCTCATTGCAGCAGCCAGAACCTGTAGTACGTGGGTCCCTGTCGGTACAGCTCTGGGTCACTGAGGAGGATACTGCCTGGGACCTGCCCGTGTGCAAGGGCATCCCAACCTCACCACGTCTCTGGGATGGTAGCTCGAAGGTGGGTGAGTGGGCGGCTCTTGGACATAGGCATGTTCCTGAACCTGACCATGACTCTCCCTCGGTCCCACCACCAGTCTGACTGTGCTGTCCTTGCAGGGGTGTGCTGGCCCCGTATGCCATGCCCTCAGAGCTGCTGGTGGTGGAGGAGATTCCGCGGAACCTGATGGGGAAGATCAACAAGAAGGAATTGCTCTGCCAGTTCTACCCGCGGGACCCGGGGCCACCTGCTGGTGTGCAGATATCTGGCCGGGCAGGGTGAGCAGGCACCCTGCCACCCTGAGCACACCCCTCATGCTGGGAGCCCCCCAAACCCAACACCCCCTCCATGCCGAGCACCCCCCTCACACTGAGCGTCCCTCCCATGCACACCAAGTGCTGCTTCGTGCCCCCCATGGCTTCCAAGTGGCCCCCCTTAAATTCGATGCCCCAAATCAGAACAGAATGGAGACCTGGGGCTGGAATGGGATCTGTCAACAGTGAAGGCAGGGGCAGCTTCCTGAGTCACCATGCCGGGTGCTGTGTGAGCTGGTCTTTACCAGTGGAGAAAGGCGTGGCCTGTCTGTAGAGACAGGACTTGCCCGGAGGCCCGAAGAGAGATGAATAAAGACCTCTGGAGAAGGGAGTGATCATTCCTGCTGCTATGCATCGCCTGTGTGGGGGCAGCGCAGGCATGTACACATTAGCGCATGTGTATGCACACCCCCATGCACAGCTGTGTGTTGCCACACTCCTCCCAGAAGCCTGCATTCGCTGGCCATCTAGGACCACTATGCATCCTGAGAGTGGCCTTCATCCTCCCTTTGCCCACTATGCCCCAGCACCAATGCCTCAGTTCCCCCAAAGGGAGGCCTCAGGGGTGTGCTTTGGGTTTAGGTGACCAGAGGACATGGTGGGGTCACGTAGTGACAACATGGCTTCCTGCTGGTCCCTGCCGTCTGCTGTGAGCCCCAGGGTCCCTCCCACCATACAGCCAGAGAGAGTTTTCCAGAGCCGGGCTGGCAAACTTCTTCCTAAAGGGTTAGGTGGTCAGTACTTTGGGCCTTGCTGGCGCAGGGTCTCTGGCAGCTGCTCACCTGTACCGTCATCCCGGGAAGCAGCCACACACAGCAAAGGAACACATCCTGTAAAGCATGAGCGTGAAGCGGTTGTGTGCACTTTTCCTGCCTCCCTCCCCAGGATATGGTCAGTGACCTTGCTGGCAGCCTAACTCCTCATCTGTGTCATGAAGGAGGGCAGTCTAAGGGGCTCAGCAAGACCGCTGGGCGTCCTCCAGCCAAAGTCAGCCTCCAGGATGCTCAGACTCCGGCAGCCAGGATGGCACGGAGGCAGAATGATTTCAGAGTGCAGCGGTGGGACCTTGGTGCCTCATCCCTACAACTGAAAGCTGCAACGACGAAGCCATGGGGCCCATTGCCCACAGAACAGACAACTTCTTTGTGCCATGTAGCACCCAGCTCTGTCACCCCACTGCCGATGCTGTGTGGGTCAGGGTCCCAGAGTGTCACACCTTGGTCTCCTTGCTGTCTCCTTTCCATCTAGAGCAGCTCTTGGCCAATGCTGTCAGCCTTGTGGAGAAGCAGACCTCCCCCTGCAGACCCCACAACTGGGGAGAGTTGGCTTGCCCCAGCTGTGGCTCAGACCCCCCCCACCGAAAGTCCCATGCACTAAGCGCACAGTGGGGCCGGTGCTCCCCTTGCACGCGAGGGCAGGGTCTGTGAGTGAGAACGCGTTCAGGCTGCCCCTCTGTTCGTCCGTTGGCTCTTCATCGGTGCTCGCCACGTGGCCCTGGACAGCCACTGCCAGGGCAGCTCCTTCCTTAGGGACTCCAAGATAGGGGCTTAGTGCCGTCATTCCTCCCAGTTATTAGTAGAATTCAGAAAGATGAACACTCACCCTGGAAATCGCTCGTGCTGAATGAGCACTTCAGTGAGCCTCTAACGGCCAGTTTTCAGTGAGGCATCATGCCCTGGTCACTCCCACTCAGCTGGGATTCCTGTGTTGTCGGTTATCACATGGAATTGTGTTGCTCGAACCACCTTGTCTTGGGCCAGCAGGAGCCCTTCACACTGGCCCCTGCATACTTTGATACCACCCCATCTTGATCTCTTCCTCCTCAGTAGCAGACCCATACGCCCAACCCTTGCTAAGAAGGAAAAAGCAATAGCACAGCGCCGTCTCTGCCCTTGTGTGGCAGAGGGCAGGATCCTGGGGCCAGAGGTGGCCAGAGGTGAGATGGACAGGACCCCAGTGTTGGGTATGTGCCTGAGGGAGGGAAGGATGCGAGGCAAGCGTAGGCATGCATGCGACTACCTTTCTTGGTCAGCGTTGGACTTGGGCACAGTCACCCTCAACCTCTGATCTGTGTGTCCTGTCATGGCTGCAGCTGGGGGCCCTTCTGGCACCTCCCTAGGCCAGAGCAGGCTCTTGCTCACTGGGTGGAGCTCTCTGGGCGGACTCCCCCCTCTGGCCGGTGGTGTAGCAGGAGACTGGGCAGCACTTCCTTGCTGTAGGAGGGGTGAGTGTAGTCTTTGTTACGGCATCAACGATGCAGTAAATTCCTAACTCACCAGATAGATCAATATCACATTATCATGTCCCACACCCATGACTCCTAAGCAAGCAACACCAGGGACAGGGTCACTGGATGGATGGCAGTGAGGGCACTTCCCCATCCATCACACCCGGCCCTGGCGGGAGGTGCTGACATGGCCATTAATAAGGCGCGGTGGGAGCGCTGGAGCACATCATGGATGGCCCAGGTGGGAGTGGGTAAACTGCTGTCGCAGGGGGCGAGGAGAACTGCGCCTGAGGTTGCAGAGCAGGTCCTGTTTGCAAGATGGACAGGGTTCGTCCTGGGACCATTAGCCCCTACTGCTGGAATGTAGAGGTCTTCTGTTCCGTGAGCAGGGTGTCCGCAAACACTGATGGCAGTGCCTATGCGGCTGGCCAGACCCCCAGTGCCTGCCCACACCTGCTTCTCAGCACATCCCACTTCTTGCCTGGGGAAACTGAGGGTTGTGAGGTAAGTGATATCCAGGATGACAGCAAGGAAGCAGGAGGGATAGGGTGGGAACCAACTCTGTTTGAGTCCAGGCCCTTAGTCTTCACGCCGGGGTCAGCATTAGGTGGGGGCGGGGGGAGGGGGGCAGACCCCCTCCACAGAGAAACTCTGGGGGAATAGGTGTTTGATCCAGGCCTGCTGATGGGCTGGGCCCCTGAAGGGGTGGGACAGGTGCCAGGGAAGGCAGGCCCCCAGCGAGCCCACTGGGATTAGAGGGGAACTGGTACCTGGGAGCTGAGCTGGGAAGCCTGTCAGGGCCTGGGGGGACGCCTAGGGGAGGGGGCTGTGTGCTGCAGTGGTGCCCTGGGTGGTGATGGGCTGAGTCAGCCCACCTGTCTCAAGGAGAAGGGAGGTCCCCAGGCCATGGCTGGCTGACACATTCTGAAGTGGCCTGTCTCACATCCCAAGGGGCCTGGCCCAGCCCGTCAGCACTTGCTGTCAGGAAGTGAGGGGGTCCGCAGAAGCTGAGGAAGCTACGAACCAGGACACCTGGTCACCGGGACACAGGCAGCCCAGGCATCCCTGGAGTTCTGAGGGTCACCAGTGCTCTGGGTGTTGGAGCCCCCGTGAGCCTGGCCGTCAGGGAGATGCTGCTCACAGTGGAAGGATGCCCCAACAATGGCCACATCCTAGAAGCCCGTGAAGCCCTCCCTCGCATAGCAAAGGGGCCCTGTAGACATGGTTATGGTATGGATCTCCGGGGAGGAAATGATCCTGGACCATCCAGGTAGGCCCACTGTGAACACAAAGGTACTTAAATGTGGAGCAGGTTCTTAAATGAGGGGGGCAGAGGTGTCAGGAGATGAGAGAACAGAGAGAGGCCAGGGAGACACAGCGTGAGGACTCATCCCATCACTGTTGGCCTCGAAGCCTTGGGGACACCAGATGCAGGACAAGGCCAGGAATGGATTCTCCCTGAAGCCCCAAAGAGCCAGCCCTGCAACACCTGGACGTTAGGTCAGTGAGACCCCTGCCGGACTTCCAACATCCAGAGCTATAGGAGATTAAATTTGCGTTGTTCTAATCTGCTCAATTTGTGGTAATCCATTACAGCAGCCACAGGAAACACCACCTTCCGTACTTCCCTGTGTCCTCACGTTAGTCGGCCAATGTTGAGAGGATCCCTTAGGGGACAGTGAGTTGAAGTTAATGGTGATGGAATAATTTAGAAAAGGATAGTGAGAATAGCAGCACAACTGGAAGAATGTAATCGATGTCACTGAATTCTATGTGTAGAAACTTTCAAAATGGTATAACTTTGGCTATGTATATTTTCACCAAAAAAAAAGATCCTCAAGGTCGAGAAGGGAGAGTGTTGACATGTCGTGGGGTTGTTAACCAATGTAATAAAACAATATGTGTACTGACTGTTTGATGAGAAACTATTCTGTAAACCTTCATCTAAAGTACAATTAAAAAATCTAAACAACAAAAAAAAGAAGGATCCCTGGCAGCCCCACATCCCATGGGCGGAGGGTCTGGTGGTGTCTCCATGTCTGGCTCCCATGTCCACTCTCCCACCCTGCCTCCGTAGGGTCTCAGGATCTCGCCGCCACCCACACTCCAGTCTGCACATGACCAGGAGGCTCTTCTACTCAGTGTCCCCTGGTCATTGGTGTCACTGCATGTGCCTCCATGCTCTCGGTGACTTTCCATCCAGAGGAGGATGTGGCCCAGGCTGGCACACGGGGCAGTCAGCAGAGGGGGTGAGGACAGCATGTAGGGAGGGGCCCTCAGGAGGCATGGAAAGGCCCTGGAGGGAGCACACTGACCTCCATCCTCAGTGTCCCCTTGTAAGCGCCTCCCATCTAGGGGCCCATCCCCCTCTGTGTCTAGAGTTGGTGACGACCCTGGAAGCAAGTGCAGAAGGGGGTGCTAAGGCTGCAGGTCAGGCTGGCTAGTCAGGCACCTGGAACACATTACTTTGCCTCTTGGGGCCTTAAGGTTCTCCTCAGAGTCCTCCCCTTTGAGGGCAGGCAGGGCCAGATTACCCAATAAGCAAGGTACAAACAGGCTTAATTGTGGTCACTTACTAATCTGTAGTGCACAATTTCATCTGGGTTTCACATCAGCCGTGGCAAAACCCAGCTGAAATTGTGCGCCACAGATTAGTAAATAAACACAAGCCCGTGCATACCTTGCTTACTGGAAGCCGGTGCATATCATGCTTACTGGTTAATCTGCCCCTGAGCAC